GCTGTCCGTTCTCCGTGGCTGACATTCTCGTTTCGACTTGCGGCGTTCGGTGTAGAGCTCTGTTCGACTTGCGGCGTTCGACTTGCGGCGTTCGGCGTTCGGTTCGACTTGCGGCGTTCGGTATCTGTGCTCACCTGGTGCCTTCGTGTGCTACCTGCTGCACGGTTGCAGTGCCCGGTTTTCGTTTTCCGCCTTCCTCAACTCTCCATTGTTTCTCCATCTGCCCAACCAAAGCCAGGGACCCGATGACGATGATGATGACGATAACGATGACGACGATCACGACGACGACGACGATACTGATGACGATGGCGATGATGAGGACGGGATCGACGATCCAATGGGGCAGGCCATAACCGTGAGAAATCATGCCCCAGTGCGTTGCCGAGTATGGGTCTTGCGCGCGAGAGGTGTCGCGAGGCCTGGAACCGGTCCTTGCCACTTGTGGCGGAGTTAGCCCTTCCCTCATGAGTTGCCCTCTTTTTCGCCTCATGTTTTTGGTTCGTCCCTCCCCCTAGTCCTCGTCCTAATTCTCTTCCCCCATGTCCTACCACGCTCGATTGTAGCATCGAGTAGACATTATCATTATTCTCTACTTTCCCTCTGGGCCCAATCCATCGCGCGCTTCTCCGTCGCGCGGCAAGTTGGGGAAGACGGGGGGGTGAGTATGACAATCGGTATGACAGGGAAGGGGCATGAGGAGAAGGAGCCAGAGGGGGGCCGGAGGAGCAGGAGGAGGAGGAGGAGGAGGAGGAGGAGGAGGAGAAGGAGGAGCAGGAAGTGGAGGGGGAGGAGGAGGAGGAGGAGGAGCAGGAGGAGCCGGAGGAGCAGGAGGAGCCGGAGGAGCCGGATGAGCAGGAGCAGGAGGAGGAGGAGGAGGAGGAGGAGAAGGAGGAGGAGGAGGAAGAGGAGGAGGAGGAGGAGGAGGAGGGGGGGAGGAGGAGGAGAAGGAGGAGGAGGAGGAGGAGGAGGAGGCGGAGGAGGAGGAGGGGCTGGAGAAGCAGGAAGAGCCGGAGGAGCCGGAGGAGCCGGAGGAGCCGTAGGAGCCAGAGGAGGAGGAGGAGGTGGTGGTGGTGGTACTCAGCCTGTGGTCAAGTCTGCATTGCTTATCCAATTACAATTGACCGCTGTGCGCATAGTGAGGGAAGCTCCCTTCGCGTAACTTGAAAGTCGGCACTCCCGTCGCGACTAGATTTCTAATCGGGGAACACCATAGAAACCGTTAGGGTCGAGAAGCCTAACGAAATCATCCCGAGTAGTGCGCAGTGGCACTAGATCCCAAGAGTGAGAAGTCAGACGTCCCAGCACGCACGCGCACACACACACAACACGGAGCGGGAAGGAAGGAGAGGGATGCACACAGAGGGAGCAAGAAGGCGGAGGCAGGCGGGGACACGTCAAAAAGATCAAGGGGAGGCCCCAGCACTTAAGTCTGGCCTCTACCTCGACCGTTCTCTTTGCCCTTTCGGGGCCTATGTTTTGGCTGAATTTCAGGGGGGCCCATGAGCCCAAAAACTGAACTCTGCCCTGCTCAGAAACACACTGTCTGGGTCCCCCAGTCTCTAAAGCGTTGAAAGATCCTGAAGGCTGACTACTACTGCTACCAGCTTCCCTCAGTACTCCTCTGAACCTCGACCCTACCACCGTCTGTGCTTGCCTCCCTTCAGCATTTTCGTCAAGGAATTCATTACATCCTCCTTGTGAGGGGAGCGGGAGAAGGACGAGGCGGAGGAGGAGGAGGGAGAGAAAGCGCTCCTCGTGATTTGAGTCGTGTGGGGTTTCTCGTCCTGGTGTGAGTCGTTCGGGCCCTTCTTCCTGGTGTGAGTCGTTCGGGCTCTTCGTGGTGTGAGTCGTTCGGGCTCTTCGTCCTGGTGTGAGTCGTTCGGGCTTCTCGTGGTGTGAGTTGTTCGGGCCCCTCATCCTGGTGTGAGTCGTTCGGGCCCCTCCTCCTGGTGTGACTCGTTCGGGCTCCTCGTGGTGTGAGTCGTTCGGGGCCCGCGTCGTGGTGTGAGTCGTTCGGGCTCCTCGTGGTGTGAGTCGTTCGGGCGCCTCGTCCTGGTGTGAGTCGTTGGGGCCCTTCCTTGTGGTGTGAGTCGTTCGGGCTCCTCGTGGTGTGAGTCGTTGGGGTCTCTCGTCCTGGTGTGAGTCGTTCGGGCTCCTCGTGGGGCCTGTTGGGGGCCTCTTGGAGCCTCTTGGGGCGTCTTGGGGGCCTCTTGGGGGCCTCTTGGGGACGTCTTGGGGGCCTCTTGGAGCCTCTTGGGGCCTCTTGGGGGCCTCTTGGGAGCCTCTTGGGGACCTCTTGGGGCCTCTTGGGGGCCTCTTGGGGGCCTCCTGAAGGCCTCTTGGGAGCCTCCTGGGGGCCTCTTGGGGCCATCTTGGGGCCTCTTGCGACCTCCTCTGAAGCGCAAATGAGCGCTGCCCCCTGAGAAGGACAAAATGAGGCCAAAACCTTCGTAACATCAACGATTTTGCTATGGAGGAAGAGAAGCGCGGCCCCCTCAGGAGGCCAAAATGGGCCCAAACCGTAGTAAAATCAATGTTGTTTGCTTTAAAGAAGAGCAGAGGGGCCAAACTCGGCCCCCCCGTCGGGGCCAGAATCCTCGTGAGGGTCGTCGTTTTTTTGGCCCTCCCAGGGGTCGAAAAAAGACTCCCCTGACGACCCGCGGCCCGCCCTCTCCAGGCCCAGGGGGAGGGGGTAGGGGGAGGGGTAAACCCCTCCCCGAAGGGGAAGAAGGGGGTTGAGGACAGCGCGGGCTCTCTAAACCACTCACGCCCAAAGGGCTGGTGGGATTCTGGAGCTTCCTCTCGATGCCCCCTCGCGGCGGAGGGCCTGGCTTCGGCACGGACCCCAACTTCATGAGGCAATTGGTGATCAAGAGATTGGCTGGCACTATCAGCATGTTGGACGGCTCCCCAATCGGAACGAACGCATGAATGTAACACGAATGACGAGCTTTGGCCTCCTCCCCCTCCTTCGCGAACGTGGTCTTCGCTCGCCAGTATTTGACGTATTCTGCTGCTACCTCCATCTTCTCGCCGCGGAGCCTCTCGACCAGGGAGGTAAGGCCTACAACTTTTGCTTGAATATCCTGAGCTTTTTTCACCACCTGCTGTGCGACCAATGCCGTCATCATCGCCATGGCCACCATGAGTGACGGGGGGCCCACCACAGCACTCGGATCCGCTTCCACTATGCTCATGTAGTGCTGGGCTGCGCCGATCGCGTGTGCGTTGAGCACGCAATCCTTGTCCACCACGTGCGTGCTGATCAGACAGCCCTCCAGCGCCCTCGTACGCTGCGTGACGTTCATCACCTGCTTCAGCGTGTTGACTGCCGTCTCGTCCTCCGTGTCGTAATCGTCGATCACATCCGTGTCCATGGCCGTGGGTGCAGCTTCTGGGTTCGGCCCCGCGGCCGCAGCGCTGCTCGACCCTGAGGCACCCCTCGTTGGTGGACAGCGTGCTTCCCCTCCCCGACGTCGCTGCTGACGATCCTTTCCGTAGCCACCAGCGGAGAAGGCTTCTTGAGAACTCGCTAGCCGTTTCTTCGCCTCCACCAGTTGGGTCTGCGACAGCGTTCCCCCCAGCCAAGCCGACATCACTCGGGCTCTCGAAGGTGAAGTGAGCAGAAGGGTCGAGTTGCACGTGTGATGGTATGTGAACCTGCAGAGCCTCTAAGCTATGGTGATCTTGACCGCATGCAGGGCACATCAGGGACTCTGGTTCAATGACATCATACTTATAGTGACCTCTATCAGCTTGGCCTCGGTGATTGAGAAATAAACGACGGACGCGTTGACGTGCAATGGGTTTGTTAGATAGCACACTCATACACCAAGGACATTGATTGGTAATCGTAAGAACATTGCTCAGCGCGCGGTGCCCGTGCGTGCCTCCCTGGGTGAACCTCATGTGCGCATACCACGCCATACGGTCCTGGAATTCAAGTCCACAACGGGTCCCATCCTCATTGAGCTCCTCACAAACCCAAACTGGTGCTGGTGGGCCTTCAGGGGTCCCTCGAGTACAGCTTGCTCACCTCCTCCTCCGCCCCCATGGACTCCTCCCCCTCCAGGGGCCTCTCCTTCCTCTCCTGTTTCTGGTTGTACATAATCACACAGGTCTCCTAGCTTGTTCTCCCAATACGCTTTCCTAAGGGTCCGAAAGTTCAGCTTGCCAAATTCAGCTTGAAACTGATCACCAACAACTTGTAGGGGGCGTCTCCTAGCTTGGTTAGAAGGGCAGGTCAATTTTCAACATGCGCCATCGCGAGTAGGTCATTCTGGGCCTGGAGGGCCCACGGGTTCCCTTTATACACTGCGTGATCATCTCTCACGAGCTTGTAATCTAACATCGTGGCCTGAGCTTCTCCAGGGAGCTTTCCAAACATAGCCGCTAATACCTGTACATTATCTTCACGATGCACTGCAAGATACTGAAGCCACCTAAGTCGCCGAATTCGAAGTTCGAGTCCGGCAGGAACGAGCCCCAGAAGCTTCCGAAGTTTTTTTTTGGGGAGAGCTCTGTGTTTGGTGGCCCCGTCAGGCTGCAATATCTTAAGTACAGCCTTTCCTCCAAGAAGCTTCTTGCCCATCCCAAGAGGTTGGAATCCAGTAAACGGTAGCCACTTGCAATCAACACAAACGCCTCGAGACCACTTAGAGCACTAGCTTGAACTCGACACTGGAAGACCAGCTTCTCGAGCTGTGACGACGCACTGCGAGCGAACCAAAACCTCCCCATACTCCACCAGGCCCTTCTCATACTTTTTAGACACACGGCTCTCTGGTGCGCGCTCTGACACGAATGCGACTACTGAACGCCAAGATATGTGGCAGCCGGCTGCACCATTCCTGAACACTCAACCATCTCAGAGAGCGCCCTCGTGCTCTTGATGGCTCCGTTGCCCACGAACTTCGGGGCAATTTGCCTCTTCTCGTGACTCTGAGCACCGCCGACCGTCCACAGCTTCTCGTCTATCTGTTTGCTAGCTTCTTCAA